TATGAAACAATTTCACAACCATATATGAAACAACTTCATCAAAAAAAGTATTATATGAAACAATTTCACAAGATTAAACAATTTCATGAAAATTTTTCATAAGATTAAACAATGAAATCGATAGATGAAGGTGGTTTGCACGGTTTACATAAATGAGGGTGGTTTTCATATGATCACTCCTCTCTCTCTCTCTCTCTATATATATATATATATATATATATATAAAGAAAAAAAAAAGATTAAAAAAGAAAAGAGGAGAAAATAAATGTATGTGGTTAAATGGCAAGTATCGTGGTCATGGTACAAAAAGGGACAATTAGAGGGAGGCCTACCGCATGACGGCTGTTGGGCAAGTAGTACATTTGACTTGTGTGTGCTGCATTTGGACACGATTACCCTTATCTACCATATATATAAAAAAGAAAATATGATTGGATTCACGTAAAACCGACCTTTTTTCGTGAGATCACAATTTTACATTTGAAACTTTATAACAAAATATCGTAAAGGTTAAAGATTTTCGAACCTTCACAGTGTTTTACTGTAAAGTTTCAAGTGTAAAAATGTAGTCTCACGAAAACAGATTGGTCTCACATGATCCCAAGTCTATTACATATATACGAGAAGGGTACTCGCGCAATACAACGAGATACATCTTGATTTTAATATTTCATTTTATTCTTTATCTCAGTCGATGTTATAGTATGGTCTTATGTGATTTTGAAAAAACAATGATGTTTTTATTTTAGAATAAAATATAAATTTGAAGATATCATAAAAATTTGACAAAAATATATTGATATTAATATCAAATTCACTATTTAAAATTCATACTTTTTGTGTAATTTTTTAATTTAATTTTTTATTATAATTTAATTTAGGTTCAATAACGAAGTAATTTATATTTGGTTTAAAAATATAATTTTCCTATACAGATAATAATTAATTATTTTGTTAGATATCGACAATTATCCTAATTATATTTTAGATTTTTTATCTTTTAAAATAAGATGTTTATCTTCTATTTGATTATGTTTATCCGTAGTTAATTACATGAATTCAAACATAGAGCTTTAATAAGTTGTACTTATGCAAAATTATTTGTAATCTTGAATTTTAAGTAATATGCATCAATAAACAGTACTTCATGCATAAAAATTGGTTTTTAAGGGTTTTTGTCAAATGTTTTATAATATAGTATAGATATATATATACACACACATATATATATACACACACATACATATATATATATATATATATACATATATATATATATATAATAGGTGGAGGTTCAAACGATAACACCTCCATTTTATGAGAACGCGAAAACATCTTTATCACATGTGATAATACACTTGAGGGGAGTTGGTGGTGTATGGATGTCGTGCCTTGCGACTTAGGTCGCACCAAAGGTCGTCTGCATCTATGATTTAGTATCGCATGTAATAAAACATTTATCACATGGGATAATACATGTGAGGGGGCTTACTGGTGTAACTGTGTAAGGGCGACTTGGCCTACAACGTAGATCGCGTCAAAAATCATCGTCTCTAATTTAGTATCACATTTGTATCATATGTAATTGAATAATAGTATTACATGTGATTGTTTATGATAAAAATGTGTTTTCACGTTGTCGTTTGAACCCTTCCTTATATGTATAGACACATATATGCATCCCTTACCTCCAAACATATTAATTATTTACCTTGGATTGATATTACTCTCATACTTGAAAAATAAATCTTATTATTAACCACATTTTTTAATGATATGTACATTTCAAAGTTTTGGAGGTAAAAATGGTTGAATCTTACAACTTCTTCCTATCCAAATCATACCTTGACAATATACATACATACATACATGCGCACACAAACAAAAACCAAAACAAAAACAAACCCAAAATCAAGGGCTTGGACTATTAAAGGAAAAACAAAAAGAGAAGCAATAATTAATAGGCTAGGTGTACACTGCAACTTTTTAGACCAATCTAAAGCTGGATGACCCAACGTCGATTTCTTGGGTCCAAGCAGCACGAGGCTGAATGTGCAAATACCAATACGTCTGAGCCACCGAGTCAGGGTCCATTGCTCCATCTCCTCCTACACTACAGTGTTGTTCCCTCGCCAACAATCTTTGTGATGCCCTGCAAAACCAGCAATCATTATCCCTTTCATCTCTCTTTTTCATCCCTTAACTTCTAGCAATGCTTAAATATTCACAATAATTAATGCAAGGAACAAAAGAAAAATCAATCTTAAGGAGTTACATGCATGTATGATTCAACATATTATCCACAACCTGCTGGAATTTTATTTATATTTCATGAATTATGTAATTGTTCAAATCAATCATTGAAAAGAGAATACCCTTTAAAATTAAGACAATAAATTAAAATAATTGATAAAATAAAAATCGATCCATTTCGTACAAAGTAAAGTAATAAATAGGTGAATGACGAAGACCCCAAAATAAACAATCTTAGTTGATTCGAGAATGACAATACATACAAAAATGAACGAAAGATAAAGCAAGTAACACGTAGCCAACACACAAGATGCATGTGGGTCAGCTAGGGTTGTGTAAAGCTAAGCATAGTGAATAAAATATGATGTTACAAAGTTATTCAAAACAAGGTAAGTTATAGGTGTTAATAAAAGAATAACTAGGTTGAGTTGTATATATATATATATATGCACCTCTTTGAACAACGGTAAAAATAATCCCTCTCCAAACTTTAAATATCATCGGTCTAAGTATGCTTAATTTATTCCACATGGTTTGATTTTGCCACTACTATTATTTATGAAAACAAGATCTTGAGATAAATAGATGTTTGTTTTATTAAAATATACATCAATCCAGTTTATGTAATTAAGACTTGCTTAAAATAATCATAAGGTCTTAATTAACTTTGTTTTTGTTTCTAATTAAATAAGCTAAGAAAGAAATTTTGAACCCAAAATTCAGAAGATATTACCATAAAAAAAGATGAACACAAATACTATGACCTAAATGCCGATAAGATATATATGAGTTCGGATGTGACAATTGTGTGTTGTGTAATGAATTTTCTAAAAATGTGTATCAATTGGTGAACAAAAGAAATTTCATGGCTCAAAGCTCATTAGGGTTTCTAATAAAATAATGCCCTACCCAATTTCATAAAGCAATAATTGTGATCAAACAAACAACAATATTTTAGGCAAGACGGAAACATAGTTGATCCAAATGTGTATGCTTCGTGTCAGTAGACGTTTACCAAGTACAAAGCAAAGGGAAAAAGGAAAACGCATAATTTGACAATGAGTGAACGAATTGAGTTGACTAGCACAAGAGAGAATCCCAATGAAAGAAAGAATCTAAAATCAAAAAAAGACGATCTTTTTATCCTTTAAAAAAAGAGACCAAGACAATTGGTCTAATTCGACAGCTGTTTTTCTAATGATTTATCTATGAAAGAATATGTCAAAAGTATTAAAAGGTAGAGAATATACCTAGATGCACCAATTACGCCATCGATGATGACATGAGCTATGTGTACCCCGAGTTGATGAAATTCTTTAGCCAAACATTGAGATAATCCTCTTAAAGCGAATTTGCCACAACCTAACTCAAAAAAAAAAAACACACTTAAAAGTACTGTTTGTATTATCCCAACCAACCCCAAGAACAATCTCTACATGAATTCTAATGGTACGTATATCCTTATTGAAAGTGTTTAGATGAAACTTGTAGGCAAAAATTGTTGATATAATTAAGAAATTGATTTGTAAATACGTTTTTACAAGAGAGATTAACATACTAAAAATCAGAACAAAAATTTTGTTGTCTAATATACTCATTGAATATGCGTTATTTGTGAAGTATTCATCATATAGAAGTGGCAGTTTTACATAATTCAGAGAATCCGGCAACGCCGGACAAAGAAGCAGCACATCCGGTGAATAAAATGGTCCCTTTTCCTCTTTCTACCATTCCCGGCAATACCTATACAGAACACATAGCTAGCGTGTGTGAAAAACATAATACCCACAGTTTGTTTGTGACAATGGTAAGTGAGTACCTGTTGAGCACAGTGGAAAGCACCGATGGACGCGACGGCTAAGGATTTTTGGAAAGAATCGAGGCGAATGTCGGAGAAATTGAAAGGACCGCCATACTGCAAGGGAATTGGTTGGTAAGCGTTGTATACCAAAACCTCCACAAAACCTAAGGAGAGAACGCCTTCGAATGCCTCTCTTACGCTCTGTGTCTCGGAGCAATCAATTCGAATAGCAAACACCTGCGCCTTCTCTTCCCTAGCTATTTCGTCGGCAAATCTCGACAGTCTGCCTGCAGCAGATTAATTAATTATATATCTCAACAGACAGATCCGATCAATATATGTATGTACACATAGAATTGAAGGAGATGAAATAAATATGTATACCTAGGTCTCTGGCGAGGATGGCGACGGTGTATCCTTCGTGAGCGAACTTACGAGCGATGGAGCGACCGAGATTGGGGCCGACGCCTACAATGGCGGCGATGCCTCTGGAAGAGTTGGAGCTTGAGACGTTACGCATAATTAGGATTTGAGGGTGGCGGTTGGCGGAGGAGGTGCTGCTACTGTACTGCTACTGGCACTGCCTCCTGGAGGGGATACAGAGGGAGAAGAAGAGGAGAGGTTTATTATAACAGAACGAGGATGAGCAAGTGTATTAAATGCCGCATACCCTACCTTTATCTATAATCCGGTTATTTATAGTAACTAGGGGTGTAAATGATGCGAGTCGAGCTCGAGTATCACTATACTCGACTCGAACTAGAAACCGAATTTCCAAGCTCGAACTCGACTCGAAAACTCGCGAGTAGTAAAAATCAAAGCTCGACTCGAACTCGATAACTATTTCTCAAGCTCGAACTCAAACTCGAATCAAGCTCAAACTCGAGCTCGAACTCGAATCAAACTCGAACCAAACTCACCCATTCAAATTTATGAAATTTTAGGATTTTTCTTTTATAAATTTTAAAACTTAAATGTGTTCTTTTAGTTTTTACAAAACTAAATGATCAACTTCAAACTTCATCATCAAAAAGACAAAGTTAGAAATTACATTCACCTCTCTATCTTTTTATAACATTTTTTCTCCCTTCCTTTACCATCTTTCTTCCAATGTGGGACAATTTCACTAACCTTTTTTTATAGTTTTTTTTTTGTCTTTTTTTTTAATTTTGATTTTAATAAAAATAATAATTGATTTGTTTTATAATTAAAAAATACATAATTTTGTTTAAATATCTAAAAATGTAGGACATTTTTATTATTTATATTTTACAAATTTTATCATAAAAACTKATTATATTTTAAAACTAATTATATATAAAATAATCGAGTATCTCACGAGCTTTTCGAGTCGAGTACTATGTAGCTTGACTCGACTCGTTAATATATCGAGACGAGCTCGAGTTCGAGCCGAGCCTATTCGAGTCGAGTGTTGACCGAGTTTTGACCGAGTCGATCTCGAGTAGCTCGCGAGTTGTCTCGTATCATTTACACCCCTAATAGTAACTGTAATTTATATCCACTATTTTATCGAGTATGAATTATCATGTATAGGTTTAATAGTTGAGATATAAAACATTTGTATTTTGGATCAATGAATATTAATAAAGGAAAAGTCTAAAAAACCCATTAGTGTTTGTAATGATTAATTTATTTGACAAATTTTTGGAACAAATAACTCCTTGAACATTCCAAAACTTGTTACATAACTTCTTGGACTTTATAAAACATGTTAGATACATCTTTATATCATATACAACTGATTAATGTGGTAAAATGATGGAAAAAAAAACTCACGAACTTTAATATTTTGAATGATTAAGTATCTGAATATTTTCTAAACCAAAAAATTACTTACATCTATAAAATGAAACAAATATGTCAAAAAAGTACTTATATTTAAAAAAAATACTTATACTTAAAAAATATTATTGATGAATTTATTTTAATTAAAAATATATATATCATGTATGTGATTTTTTAAATTAAAAAAAGATTTAAAAAGATTACTGGTGAAATTTATTTTAATTAAAAATAAAATATATTTCGTATACGATTTTTTGAATTAAAAAACTGAAAAAGATTTAAAAAGACATACTGATAAAATTTATTTTAATTATAAATAAAACATATATTCCGTTGGTAATTTTTTAAATTAGAAAATAGAAAATAATTTGATAAAATTACTGATGGATTAACGATAAAATTTAACTAAATGCATAATTAATTAAAATTTGTCGCTAATCCGTCGTTGAAATGATATCACCGACAAGATTTCAGCACGATTTTTTACATTTACTAACATGTTATGTATAAGAGCGTCTGACAGTGGTCAAGTTAGCCATCAATTAAATATAAGTAATCCATACATATATATCAATGAACACCAGTGACGAATTTTAATTAGATGTGTATTTAGTTAAATTTTATCGTTAATCAATCAGTAATTTAATCAAATTATTTTCTATTTTTTTAATTTAAAAAATCACCAACGAAATATATTTTATTTTTAATTAAAATAAATTTAATCAGTAATATTTTTAAATCTTTTTTATTTTATTTTTTAATTTTAGAAATCATATACATAATATATTTTATTTTTAATTAAAATAAATTTAATTAGTAATCTTTTTTTATTTTTTTTATTTGAAAAATCACTGACAAAATATTTTTTTTATTTTTGATTAAAATAAATTTCATCAATAATATTTTTTAAATGTAAGTGATTTTTTGAAAATGTACATACTTTTGGTATATTTGTTTTAATTTTATAGATGTAAGTATTTTTTTGTTCAAAAAATGTTTAGGACTTAATCATTCAAAATATGAAAGTCTATTGGTTTTTTTCCAAGTTTTTTTTTTTATTTTATAGGTTTTGGAATGTCCAAGTAGTTATTTAACAAGTTTTGGAATGTCCAATGACTTATTTGTTTCAAAAAATTGTCCAATAACTTAATCATTTCAAAACACTAATTTATTTATGTTTGAAATAAAAAATATATCGATTTGGATTAATAAGTAATAAAATGTGAATCACTATGTATAGATTCAACATGTGTGCCATATAATTATAGGGGCGGAGATATATTCACCCCTACTTATATCTTAAAAACATCTTTCTTGATCTATTATTATTCATAATTCAATAATTACATCATCACACATATTTATTTATATTTAATTTTTTATATTGCTTTTCTTTCATTTAATCAAACTTTTTTTTATTACTATTGTTATCATTAGATTATAATTAATATTATATTAAATACTTTTTTATTTATAGTGTATTTTATATTATTTTTTTATATTAATATCCAACAATTTAAGATAAATATAATATGTTTTTTAAACAAGAATACAAATATAAAACAGATATGAACAGTCTTATTTGTTGAAATACTGAAAATATAATTTCATTCTCTTGAGCAATTATTTCTAGATTGTTTCAAATTTGGGAACTTTTATCATTTGACTCTCAAGGGTGTTTGGTTTGCAAAATCCGGGAAAAAAATAATGGAATTTAAATGACAAAGTTTACACCAAATTTCTTGATAATGTTTAGTTTACGGAATATATTGATTGGATTTCGTCAAACTTTACGGTTGAAGGATTTAATCATTATTTGACATAAGTAAAGGAATTTAATTTCATTCCTTGAAAAATGTAACAAATTTATAATTTGTTTTAGAAAAAAACCAAAAGTAAGGGGCTGTTTGGCAGTTGCTGAATGATTTAGTTCAGAATAGTTAAGAGGATCAGAATGGCTAAGAGGATCAGAATGGTTAAGTGCTGAATGAAACAAGGTTGTTTGGTAATTGTTCTCTGAATGACAGCAAATTACCATTTTAACCCTAGTTATGATTTAGTACTGAATAAACCAACATACAATTACCAAAGATGATGTTTCTTCATATCAGTATCAAATCCTCAAGAAATTGCAAAATATCGGTAATCCGATCATCATTAACATTGTTACAAACATAAAATAAGCAATAATCACCATCAATTTCTAAAGAAAAATGATAAATTCCCTAAACCAAACCCTAGATTTATGCAAGATCAAGAAACCGAGAGATCCCATTTCATAAAGCAGCTTGAAGAAACTGAAATTAACATTGTTACAAACATGAGAGGAAGAGGCGGCGACGAGCGACGACCTGTTGGAAGACCAGCGACGTGGGGGGAGGGGTTGGGATTTGAAGACCAGCGACGTGGGGGGAGGGGCTGTGAAGAAGAAGCGATGTGTGCTGTTGGTGGTTATGGAAGACCGACGAGGGGGGGGGGAGGTCTGATGGAGAGGGGGTGCGATGTGAAGAAGGGATGACATAGTTGGAAAAATAGACATCTGAATGGTTTAGTGAGGTA